CTTCACTCGTTGAAAATCGTTCGTTTTATGTAAAAAGCTTTTATATCTCTTCTATTTTCCTTTCTCTTTCTCTCTCTCTCTCTCTCTCTCTCTCTCTCTCTCTCTCTCTATTACTCTCTTTTAACCTATAAAATTAATTACTATTATCGGATAATGCATTACTATTGCTGAATTGTAAATCTATCGGTAATACTGTAACGCGGTTGAACGATTATATAAAATGTTTTAGGTTAAACGATAAAGCGTATTAGGTTTCCCGCGAGTTCATCGAATGAAATTTAATCCGAGATTATATTATTTACCTGTTCGTTCAATATTTTGTATTTACAATTCGCGTGTTATATTTTATTACTGCGCGCTGAGAATATAGGGAAAGAAGGGGAGAGAAAACAAAAATATATATTATTATTTTCTGTTCAAAATTGCATAAACTTTTTCTTTTTTGTTTTTTGTCTTCCTTTCTCTTTTTTCTTTTTGTTTTTGATTTTTTACAAAACTAACAAAACTTTTCAAATATTTGATACACTGCAATATTTGTTTGTATAGTAACATTCGAATGTTACAAATATTTGTAACACCCTTCTCTTCCGTTAAATTCTATGATAAAATAAACGAGGTTTTTTTTTTTTATACTACAATTGTAACAAAAATGGTGTACATTATGAAAAATATCTGCAAGGATAAAAGATATCATTGAAAATATGATAAAGACGTTAAAACCTTCGGTTAATTTTGATTCGCAGACATCCGAAAAGAATTTTTGGTTGAAATCAACTTGATCGAAACGCGAAGGGGTGAGAGAGAACAAAAGAAAAAAAGCCTCGCGTTGTCTGATCGTTTGTATTAAAATTCAGCCGTCACATACTTTGATACACGTTCGAATCTTGATGACGTTTCTCTTTTTCAACCCTTTAACCTCCCTCCCTCCCACCCTTCTTTTTTTCTATATACTTCGAAAGGATTTTTGCTGCTCTACCAGAGAGTAAAGTTAAGCTCGCTTGCTTTTGCATTCAGTGACATCGAGAACTCGTATCTGGAGCTACGTGCTATATGAAAAATACATAATTCTTGGAGAAAAGTGCGAATAATAGCCGTATCACGTCCCACCTGCTCGCGTATCGAAGTATCGTCGTCGATATTTTAAGCGAACAAGAGAGAGAGAGAGAGAGAGAGAAGGACAGAGTGAGAGAGGACACAGAACCCCTATTTTATTTTTGCGATATAATACTCGACTCCGTGTCGTCCACCTCGCTTGACATATTGGACGTGATAGGGTGTAATCCGTTATGCCAGGCTTTGAGCTTGCAAACGGAGATCTAAAGCTTCAATCATTCTCTCCACCTTCTTCTATATATGTAGGTATATATATATATATATATATATATATATATATATATATATAGATATATAATATACCCCCCCTGTCTCTCCTTATCTCTATCATCTTTCTTATATAACATAAAAATATAACAAACAACAACACAACAGGTTAATGCATCGTTATCGTTTACACATTGATAGTAATCTTTGTGAAAGTCACTATATTTCGAACGAATACGCTTTTTTTTTTTTAAGTAGTAGAAATCTGTGATAATATGCATGTCAACTAAAGATAGAATTAGAAAGATTCTCTCACGTTAGAATTGGTTATTACGAAAGTATTAATAAAATGAACATTTCAATATCAAGTATGAAAAAATGATTTTGATACTATCTATTTAAGTATCTTCATGATAATTAAATAAATTCATACAGTTTAATATGTTTTATCTAAAATTGTATTTATAAATTGAATTTAAGAATTCAATCATTCCCATAATAATTCTCGGGGAAAAATTGAATTACTAGATACTATCTATTTTATACATATATATATTTATACTGAATGAGGAGAATAACAGGAGAATATACTGTTCTTGTTTCAGGAAGTGCATACATCATCAGATGGAGTGCACCGCAGTTGATGATTGTTGCGGTGCAATACATACTCACTGGACCGTATATGCCACCGTACGTACCGCAAACGGCGAATTAAGAACTAATAATATACATCTTCGATTGGTAGAAGAGAAATGAAATGGGAATGAAAATGAGGACGAAGACGAGTAAGAGGAGGAGGAGGAGAAGGAATAGGGAAAGGAGGAAGGAGTAGGAGGAAGGAAAGCACCGATTTCCGAATCCGAATTAATTCGCTACACAAACGGGATTCGACAGTGTTCAAATCGATCGGCAATTCAATTTCGAATCGGTGAACTTTAAACATTAAGTCGATTAAACATCGAATTACCTGTAATTCGCGAATTGACCCACGAGTTTGATTACAACCACCCAGGAACAGTGGTGGCCGAATTACCGCAAAACGATAATTATGTATGAAAGCGCGTCCGTACTTCCTGATTACATTGGCTTGTTATACGTCGAGAGTATAGTATGTATAGTATATTACGCATTCGTATAAATTACAAGGTAAATTAGAACGAAATTAGTAGCTCGCGTTCCTCGCTATCTCACAATTGCTAGATTATCAAACGAATGAATATAAGTACGAACGATATCGAACAGTTTCTCCCATTGAAATCCGAAAAACACATCAATGATTAATATATTTATTTCATTAGATATAATACCTATCATCATCGCAGGAATAATATCATTTTTGCATATTCATTAATCGTCGTCTATCTTCGGAATTGAATAATCATCACGAAATTTGTCGATACGCGATAGGAAATAAATAAAATGTTGTCCCTACGACAAGAAATTCTGTTTCATCTTTCTCGAAAGGATCGATACGTGAGGACGAATTCGAGAGGTTAATTTGAAATTTCGCTTGTTATACATATAATGTCGCCCCGGAGATATATTAGTGGAATATTAATCGGCATCATTAGTTGCACGACAAATTGCTCTATCGTCGGACCAACGAAATGGGACAAGAACCCAACGAATGGATTTACGGCGAAGCTCTACTATGGAAATGTATGTATGTACTTATACATACGTACATATATATATATATATATATATATATATATATATATATATCTACATATATAGTGTTCGAAATAAACTCGGTGACGTCGAAAAGCGTGTCACCGATCGATTCGAAGCGATTTTGCAACGATTTAATGGCACCCTCATGCGCACATGACATTTATTAAACCACATTTTGGGATTGCAGACGTCCGTAGAACATAAGCAAGTTCTTGAACTCGCTTTGATGTGGAAACAGTACGTGTACGGTATAGTTCAATTAACTTTTCCAATTTAGTTAATAATCACAAAACGTTAGATCTTCTATTAATAATCAATCGGAAGGATTAATAATTTCGGTGGTAAGATTTAAAAGAAACAAAACGAATCTAATTTTGTTCGCGCGTATTGTAAATTCAATGAAATATTAAACTCCCCGGAAAATTCTTGCAGATTTAAAAAAAGAAAAGAAAAAATTCAAAAGCAATACTTTTTCATATTTAATATATTTACAAAAATACCTATCAAATATTATATATTTATAATTCGGCATAAGCTTTCCGAACAATTTAATAATTATGAGCATTTTTGTATGCGTTTCTTATAATTATACTACACACACACACTCACACTATTGGATTTACGATAGAACAAATGGCGTTGGAAATCGTGTCAAAGAGTTGTACAACGTTATGTCGAAAAGGACGATTTTGTAATAGCAAAACAAAAAAAAAACATTGAGACAATGAGAAAAAAAATTTTCTCCTCTATTTTTTTATTTGTTTTTTTTTTGTTCTGTTTCCCCTGATTTTTTTTTTTTTCTCCACACACAATGCAATGTAATCTATTTCGATCTAACGCGCGATTCCGTTGGATTAAAAATCATCCAACATTGGGCGGTGTTAACTTTCACATATTCTAAAACTGTGCGAAAACGAATCGGAAACTGGCGCTTTTTTATCTTGGCATAGATACTACGGGGAAATTTGTATGCACGGTGTTACAATAATATTCGGTAGCACGAACACACAGATATACATACGTGATATATACGTTCAAGTTGGATGAAAACTTTTTTTTTTATACCCGTCTATTTTCATTGCAGATATTTACGTTGATGCGATAAGGTTATCCATAGCGACAATCAACGTGAAAGAATTTTTAAATTTAAACGTACGCGACGTTATTATTCAAATTTAATTTTTGTCCGTCACACGTCTCTTCTTCTTTTACCTTTCCAGCAATCGGGATAATTTTAAATTAACTATCAAGCTAGAAATAAAATCTCAATCAAGTTTGGTAAGGAAAAAAAATAAAGGAAGGAAGAAAGAAAGAAAGAAAGAATGAAGAAGAAGAAGACGGGAGATTGGTGAAAAAATTAAAAACGATATAGGGGAAACGATTGACGAATGGGATTCGGGTAAGCAGCTTTGCCATTGCAATTCCTGCTTCACGCGAACGCACGGGATATTTTAAGCTAAGCCCTGCTTAACTCGAGCAATTTCATTTTATCCACATAGTAGTAACAGCAACAGCAACAGCAGCAACGTTCTTAAATCTTACATCGTCAATCTGTCCGAATCTGAGTCGGTGCTAATAAATCCGTGTGTAAGTAAACGATGAGAGTGAGGAAAAAAAAAAAAGCAAATAAATACCGTAACGTAAAAATTAATTCCTCGGTAACTAAAAAAAAAAAATAAACGAAAGAAAAAAGAAAAAATAATATTAATAATAATTATATTAATAAAATGAAAAGAGAGAGATAGCTTGACCATCCAAACATCGTACTAAAATTGGAAAAAGAATACTCATAATTTAACCGACGAGAGAGAGAGAGAGAGACAGTTGGCCTCGATGTAGGGATATTTAAAATTGTGCGATGAAACATCCAAGAGGGTTGCGTCTTCCTTCAACAAGAACAAAAGGGAGGAAGGGAGGAGAGGAATGGGAAAGAAGAAACGTGATTAATGCTACGTCACGCGCGAACCTTCTTCGTAGTCGCGTATAATATTCCGTGCTTGAACGATATCGCTGGCCCGGCACGTTCGCGATAAAACGAAAGCGAATATTTATTTCTACGAATTCAATTATTTCCCTATAGATAGAATCAACTATAGATATCTTCTGAATTTGGTATATATATATATATATATATATATATATATATATCTGTGTGTGTATGTATGGTACATATATGCAAGAAATAGAAAAAGAAATAAACGGAGTTAAATCGACCATTCCCAGCTTTACGGTTCGGTCCAGCCGACTGAAAGTTTATTCTCGCACGGGCCACTTCGTCCTTTTCCATTCGTAAATCGATAAAAAAAGAAAGGAGCAGCAGGGGGTGGGAGGTTGAGAGAAGTTACTTACATAGTTATTTGTGTGTTTGGTAAAATTTAGAACTACCGTACTCTTCTTTATTTTCTATTTACTCGGTTGTACATTTCCAAAGGTGGTTTCTAAGATTAAGAACTAGATAAACTGGCCAATTGTTTTTGAAGGGTGTAAAAATATTGTATTAAAAAAGTAACAATGTTATTTAGGATATCGTAAAAAAAGTATTCGAAAGGTGGAGAAATTTCATTGATTAAATGTATCTTAGGAAAAAAACAATCGAACGGGTGGTATCCTATAGCCTTAATTCAGTCGTATAAACCATATCCTATATAATATTATTTTCCTCGGAACGTTTGTTGCACTTCGCGCAACTGTTTGAAGAAAATGAAAAAAAAGTCACCTTTCTTATTTTTAATCCACTAAGCGAGAGCGTAAAACAACTTGAAATTCCTCTTACGAGTTTGTTTCGAATTCTCCCGAAAAAGCAAAAAGCATTGAACGTTGTTTTGGGGTTTTCTTCTGCTTCGTATGGTCATGAAACTCTCTTAAGGATAAAAATAGAGAAAAATAAAGAGAAAGAAGCCGAGTATGAAAAGTTTCGATCGCACAAAGAGGGCTTCGATAAAGTATCATTCGGCCGGAAAGTCTCCAACAGAAAGTTACCAATCTATGGTACAGATTGAAAAGTTCCCTTTTATGTCGCACGTAGAAATGTGAGAAACTTTCTGTAACACGTACAATATATTATACATGTATATACTACATAGGTATATACACGCATAAAATAGAAACAAGAATGGAAACATCTATAGGATCTACCAGGAAACAACACAACGGACTTTACGGAAGATTTCGAAAAATAGAGCATGAAAAACCGCCCGATTTGCATCGATCTACTTTCTACTTTCTACTTTTTCTTTTCCTTTTTCTTTCTTCTTTTTTTTTTAAGGGCGTGTAACACATGAGTAATGAAATACGATACACAAACTATTATTTTTTATACAATCTATTATAAATAATTAAAAGATAATCAAATTTATGGCTAATATTTGATAATCGGTTTGATTGAAATCATTATTGCCATGGATACTGAACTTATCAACAAATTTTGTAACACCATTGTAGTTATTTAATAATTCATTTACTGATTACATTTAACGTTTCCGCTGGAATATGAAGTTTTTAAAGTAGGTCAAATTGAAGATGATGAGAGATTATGCATTCTTGTAGAATTTGAAAATGCACCAAGATACCTGCTGTAATAAGTTTATTATTCACAAACAAAAGTATTCAAAGAACGATACCCGAATATATATTATCAACTTTCAGATTTTAGTTAGTTATTATATATCATTCGTTTATATATATATATATATATATATACAGGGTGAATAAATAAAAAATAATATATAAAATAATTCGTGTTCTATTGATTGCACGCATAAAAACATTTCAATAAAATATACAACGTATCAAAGGTTACATCAGATGAATAAAATAAAATTCATTAAAATATTTTTCGTTAATCAATCAATAAAGTTACGAATTATTTTAGGTAGTAATTTTTATCGACTCACGTTATACACGTAGAATGATTTTTTTTTTTTTATAAATTCTTTAAATTATTTTCTCGAAACAAAATCGAAATCAATCGAAAAAAACGTTTATTTTATAGTCAGAATATTCAATGATAAAATTACTTACAAAAGAATTCCCGTTTTCTATTATTTCAGAAATTTATTTTCCCCGGTGTTACGATCAACGTTTGATGCGTGGAAAATATTTTTTACATATATGAGTTTCAAAGGGAAATTAAGTATATGATTACGTGTGACGAGATAAGGTTGTTTAGGATTAATTATACTATAATTTATTGTAATGTATGACTCTGAAAATAAAATAATATGTATTGACGCGTGAACTAAGTGATCGAGTTGCTGAGGAAGTCCCCAGTAAGGGACGAAACGTTCAACAAAGTCATAATAAATTGTTCATCAAATTTATTAAATGTCTTTAATTTCCCTTTGAAACTCATATATATTAATATACTGTTGGGACAAGAATATTGATAATTAAATATTTTTTACATTTAAAAACATTTTTTTACAAAGTACCTTTAATTATTTATATGAATTTTCTGTTCTAAACTAGGACACCGGATACTTTAAATATCTTGATTACAGGATGATTCAGAGGAATACTAAAAGTATCGATATCCAATCGAGTAATCGATCAAAAGTTTACACGAGACCAACATCAAAACCAATTACATGGACTACCTTTACGTTCAAGTACATAAATTAGTTAGTAACAAGTTTGGTGACCATTCTCCACTTCGTATAGGAAAAAGCAATTAAAAAAGTATCAAAACAGTTTTGCCTTTTTCGCTTCTATTCGTAGGTATCATTTCGCAGATTGAACAAATGTAATCGAGAGGGAAACACGATCGCAATTACACACGAACCATCTCGCTGACCTATAAATTGATCGATTCGATACGTTATCGATCGTTTAAAGAAGAAACAAAATATAGATATACGTGTTTCATTAAAAAACACAAAAAAAATGAAAAAGATATTGGGGGAAAAAGAGAAAAAAATCTACACGAAAAAAAAAAAAGATAACCGTGAATCCAGAAATGTAATCCACATTTTTTCATTTCTCTCAGTTACGATATTCCATTACATTGTTCAATGACTATAGATATTAAAAAAAATATATCAAAGGTTTCTTCATTTCTTTATTTTAATTTTACAATTTTTATATTAAATGTTCTTTTTCTATATCATTATTATTAATACTTCAAAGCATTAATGTAGACCTTTGTAATATAATCTAAAACTTTTAGAATTTTCGTACAATCCAAAACTTTACAAATTTTGTATAATTTTAATTTATGATTCGACAGAGTTCAAATATGATAATTGATATTGAAAAATATTATAAATTTCGTTCATTTTTTTCACTATCTCGTTCATTTTT